GAGCAGCGCGCAGTCGCTCTGGTACACCCGTACCTGTAGCTCGGCGACGTCACGCACGGGGAACTCGAGCTTTACGTCGCAGCGCATGACGACGGAGGCCTTGCCGTGGTTATACTGTGACGGGGGATGTATGAACGCCGTGTCACGGGCGAAGACCAGCCGGCAGCATATGTCGAACCGGTCGACCGAGAACTCGAGCCCCTGAGCAGGTCCTTCCCAGGCGGCGAGGAAGGTGTCCGGCGCCGGGAGTGCGCCAACCTCCAGGCGCGCGTCAGGGAAGCGGAACGGGTTGATGCTGCCGCGGCAGGACGCGGCGGCGGTGACGATGCGTAGCGGCCTCCCGTGCAGCAGAAGCTCGGATCTCGCCGCCGCGTCGGTCGCGCGGCGCACCGCCTGCGGGTGCGCGAAGTGGACGAACGCGTGCGGGGGCGCCCAGCGGTAGGGCGGCGACGGCGCATAACGGAGCGCTGACGTTGCTGGAAGGAGGAAGTCGGGGTAGGAGCCCGGCGGGGTCCAGGAGCTCTTGACGCGGCATCGCCAGACCTGGCCGATACCCATGTACTCCAGGAAGCCGGCGAGGCTACGGGCCGAGACGCTGCGGTCAAAGCCTCCGACGCTCACTTGGGGCGTCACCGGCGGGTCGCGCGATCCCATGGCCATGGCGCGGTGGTGTGTGTCTTGTGTGTTTGGCGTTGGGCGATGTAACCCCCTCCTCCCTCCCTTGGGATGTCTTTTTCTACTCCTCGGTAACGACGCGTTGCATGCAGCCTATGAACAGAAGCCCGGAGATCGAGAGCTTTCTCAGTTTTGAGTTTTGACTAATCACTAGTTGTGACGTGTACACACCAGTAATTACTAGTGTGAACTTGTGATTGTTTGACGATATTTTATACGTGTACCCACTACACGCTTTGGTGAAGAAGAAGATAAAAAAATAAAAACAGAAGTGAAAATAAGATTAAAGAAAACCGGCTTCACGCATTCACTACGGGCTAAAATGACGAGGGTTCTATACTAAAAAAGATGGGAAAACGCTTATTCGCAGCCGGATGCACGCAGCCGGCTGAGCAACCGTCTCGCGCGCCGTCGGATCGCGCGGCATCGGACGGTGCGGACGCGTTCTTTCCAGGTGTGTGGACGCGCGTGCCCCAGGTGATTTTTTTTGCTTCCACCCCCGTTAGCTCGGTGCCCCTGTCTGCTTCCATCGTTTTCCATCCACATCCCCATCTCTAACTCTGACGACGGCGCAGGCGAGTCCGAGATCCAGGATCGTGGCGGTGGCGGGGGGACTGGATGCTGCCGGGACGACCGGCGGCGAGCATCGTCGGGCGGCGCCGAGCATCGTCCGCCACGGCGCCGAGCTACACGACCCCCCTGTTTTTGCGGCGGCGGACGAGAGGTATGGTGGCCTGCAATTCGCAGCATTTTTCTCCCCCGCCTGATTGATCTCCCTTCAGAGCTTAATGATGGAGTCACATACCTAGGATAGGGTCACGGACCTGATCTAAGTACCCTGCCGAGGACACTCTTAGAAGAGATCACCTTCCAGTCGACCTACGAGAGACTCACTCGACTGACTTGAAGGACTCGACCACGAAGACTCACTCGACCACCAGAAGGTCAAGAAGCACTCTGCACTGCAACGGCCTGTAATTAAGTAGACTTTATGATAGTAAAGACACTTTATGTGGGGCGTTACCTGTAACGCCCCGGACTTAATACACCTTAAACCCTTCATTACGTGGGCTGGCTGGGGACCTGGCGCACTCTATATAAGCCACCCCCCTCCACAGGCAGAAGGGTTCGGCACCTTGTAATCCATATACACAAGATCCACTCGACCGCCTCCGGACTCCGAGACGTAGGGCTTTTACTTCCTCCGAGAAGGGCCTGAACTCGTACATCTCTTGTGTTTACAACCTCTCCATAGCTAGGACCTTGCCTCTCCATACCTACCCCCCACTCTACTGTCAGACTCAGAACCACGACAGTTGGCGCCCACCGTGGGGCAGGTGTTTTAGCGATTTTGTGGAGAAGTTGCGATTCTTCCGAGTACTTTCATCATAGTGGCTGCTGGAGTTTTGGTCGAGGGTCGAGAGATCCGTCTCGGTGCTCTCACCTTCGTCGCCGAGGACTCCGCCTGGCTCCAGGAGGCTCCACTCGACGTCGATGCGCTCCCCGTCCGCGGTGCGACGCATTTTCGCGCATGTGTCCGCGGCGTTCTGCTGCGGCAACCGTCGACCCCGTATCGGTCGACTCCCCCATCGGCCACCCTCCCGGTCTCCCGCCAGCGTAAGCGCTCGGGCCGGTCGAGGCTTCAGCGGTGGGTGAGGCACGCGGTGGCTCGCCAGACGGCCACCACCCAAGTTGCGGCAATCGAGCCCGACGAATCTCTCTACGGCCTGTTCGATCTGTCGACTGGCTCCGTAGAGACTGCATCCGAGTGCGATAGCAGTGATCCAGCGGCGGAAATCCTGATGGTCGACGGGCCCCGCAGTTCCCCTGGCTTCGCCCGTGATGGTGGGGCAGGCGACGAAGGCGACCCCACACGAGACCACGAGGAGTACCAGCCCGAGCCACTCGACTCTCTGCAAAGAGAGGAACTTCGCCGCAGGAACGTGGATGCCCTGCGTACTCCCATCGCAGGAGAAACCCCCGAGGCTCGCGCCTTGGAGGAGGCGCATTTGGCCAATTTGGCCGAACGCACTCGACTGGAGAATCTTCAGCGAGCACTCGACGAGCGCGCGCGACAACGAGTTCCCGACACCAGTCGACGTCAACTCTTCCCGCCGACTCAGGTATATCGAACCCCAGTCCAGAATTTAGCAGCTGCGACCCGTATTGCAGAGTCCATCCAGCCCTCTTAGTCGGAAGCTGGCAGAGGCTTGATGCAGATCAGGGATCTGCTCCGGGCAGCAGGCGATCTGAATTCGGCCGTATCGCAGTCGCGCAACAGAATTCACAGTCGATCCGTCGCTGCGAATACTGTTCAGTCGGCTCACAGCCCCAGATCGCCTCCGCGGCGTGAAGGGCGCGAGAATCGGTGAGACCAATATGGAGACCGACACGACCGAGATGATAGGCGTCGAGTGCCCAATTCCCCTCCGAGGGGTGGGTCTTACGCTCCTCGGCAGCAAGATGACAAACGTCAGCTCAGTGCGGGGCGAAGAGTTCCAGTCGACCCTAGAGAACCAGGCTTCAACGCGCGATCCATTATCGTGCAAGGCTTGGTCGACCGGAACAGAGCCCATCGAGGCGGACTCGACAGAGATGCGCCCACGAGCAGTCGAGTGCATGTTTCTGGTCCTGAATGTTTCAGCAGAGCTATCAGAGCCGCAGTGACCCCTCCTAATTTCAGGTTGGCAACAGGAGTCAGCAAGTTCACTGGTGAGTCTAAGCCTGAAACTTGGCTTGAGGACTACCGAGTGGCGGTTCA